GGTTATTGTCCGATTTTAAAAATTTTCGGCCATTTAGTATGCGCCAAGCTTGGAAGAAATTGGTGCAGCGGTTTCCAAGATATACACATGTAAGTCCAAAAATGTATAATATTCTTATTTTTCGTCTGAAAATTATTGTAAATATCAATTTTTAGTGAATTATCTTCAGTAGTTACTAAAATATCGCAGTTTTCGTATATCTGAAAATTACCGTTATATGGGCAGTGGGCGTGGTTAAAGTGCGATTTCGCCCATTTGCAATACCAACCTACCTTGGATAAATGGAAACCTACATACCAAATTTCGTTGAGATATCTCAATTTTTGCTCGAGTTATCGTGTACAGGGACGGACGGACAGACGGACAGACAGACAGACATGGCTTAATCGATTTCTCTATTCATTCTGAGCATTTATGTATACATTTGTCTATATCTATCTCGATTCGTTTTGGTTGTTACAAACAACCGTTATGTGAAACCAGTTAGAAAAAATACTAGTGCATAAACTAGTATGTGCCTACCAGTTGTGCCTACCAGTTCGTCATTTTCGAAGAACTTAAGCGTTCAGTGACATCTGCCTTTGAATTGCCAAAGCATAAAGTAAAACGCAATTAATTACTTTTCTTACAAATGTCGGCTGTGGTGTCACGTGAAGACTACTGGTTCTGGTTTTGGGATCGCAGGTTCGGAGCCGCTTGGAGGTGGTTAAGATTTTTGAAGTTAGATCAATGTAGGTAGGAATTATTATTTCAATTTAATACAAATAACAAACTTAAAAATCTAATTGCATTACAAAAAAAAAGAAACAATAAAATATATGGGAAGAAACACTTGTGCCATAAAAATTAGATAAAAAAAAATATTTTTTGTTTTTAATTAAATTTAAGAATAACAAAAAAACGTAAATAAAAAATATAAATAAAAGAAATATTATAAAAAATAAATAAAATAAAAAAAATTCCCCGCGCCAGGGCTTGAACCTGGTACCTCAGGAATACCACTCGAGTGCTTTACTCTGTCGGCCATTGCGACTGTTGGAGCGCCGCGAGCAAAAAGGCATACTAATGCTTTTCATGGGGGATGTATTGGCAGACTATCTCATCTACTTGTATGATGCTACTAGTATTTCTACTAGTAGATGCTGATGCATAGCCTGACAATTGACATCTCGTAGGACATCGCAATGTTAAAAATACCAGTCGCTAACATTGAAAAAGGATAGAATGTGAACTAGTTGGGCTGAAACGCAAGCTGGTAGAATTCTAGTTCACAACTAGTAGCTTTCCCTGCAGGGAATTTATACTCTCCTTCCAAATTGATACCGTCTTTTTCTAAGAAAACTTCGTTTCGTTTTCCAAGCGATTTAGAGCGTTCGATAGCATTATTTTTTTTGTTATTATTATATTCCCCAATTTTAGATGGAAGTAATAAGATCAAATCAAAAATGTTTAATGTCTCTTTCGGCAATCTTTCTCGGAGATCGCGCAAAATATTATGAAATAGCGGTATAAATATTGCCTTTCGATAATAATCTTCAGCGTTAGACGCACGATAATTAGCCCGTAAATTTTGTATATTCGCTCTCCGAGGAAATACAATGCCAAAATCCAATTCCTTAGCGATATCGGTATATCAGACAAATGTGTGTCAGCATTTTCTCTATAATTTCGAAGAATATTCACAGTGCCATTGACTGCTTCACTAGCACGATTCAAGTCAGGCGAGGGCGCTTAGAGAAGTAAACTTTTAATTTTTAATTTTTTAATTTAACTTTTTAACTTTTATTATATTTTTCAAGTCATTCATATTTTTATGGGCTATACTATAATAAATTTTGTACAATTAAAAATCAAAGTGGATTTACTAAAATGAACACAACGTATTAATTATAAATTCTGAAATATAAATAAATAAAACATTGAAAAGCAGTCAATGCTTGCTGTTTGACTCGAACTTGGATGTACGTGAACTTGGGTAATGTATAATTGTTTATATGATTCCTCAAAGTATCCCTTATATAACACTGTGGAACCCAAAAAATCCTTAGTGCGAATATATCAGGTTTGATAGCTGTTGGCCATACCAATAATGCCTCATACTCAGATTTACTAGATCAATTCGTGTTCCCCGAGAAAAAAAAAGTTCACGATCCAAAAATCTGAAAAATCTTTTTTCTCCAAATTTTGAAGATTTATCGTTTTTGGCCTACATTTTTTGGCAAATACTATACAAAGCAAATATAGGCAAAAAATGAAGAATTTTCAAAATTTTGAGAAAAGAATTTGGCCGCTATACTCAGATTTTTTAATCGTGAAATTTTTTTTCTCGAGAACACGAATTGATCTAGTAAAACTGAGTATGAGGCATTATTGGTATGGTCAACAGCTATCAAACCTGATATATGCGCACAAGAAGCCCATTTGAAAGAGGGGGACAAAATATCACACGTAAATGAATTCCTCTATTTGGCCTGTACAATATAAGGGAAACATTTCAAATTCATAAGGGATAATTTTCTTAGTGATGCGGCTTATATAAGGAATTATATATGCCATACTGTTCTAGCTGGGTATTCATCAGCTCAAAAATTTTAAGCATATTATCATATTCCTGTGAATAAAAACACGCCTTATTTTATTATTTTAATTATCTACAACTTTATGAGACTACCAAGCCATATATATATCTATTCAGATAATCGGAACGCTATTGAGAAGGCATACAATTTAGTACTTTTTCAGCTAAAGGGCTTTTTTTCTTCCCGTTTTTCTTGTACTTCCAAAATACAATATTGACCTAAGGTAGTTCGATTTCGAGCTGTCACAACGTACAACACCTTTCATTATTGCATCATGGGCATATTTAACAAGGTAGAAGTGACAAACAGCTCGAACTCTCTTGTAGCTAGTTATAATGTCAAAAAACTGTGAACAAACAAATTAACCCTATGAGGTGCGCGTGCTATGTTCGCTACAAATTAGCATCAATTGAACCTCATCATGGTGAAATTATACCAGGTGTAGTAATAAGAGCGAGATAAAAGATTTGACCCTATCTTATTTGAAAATTTGCCTTTAAAAATTTGTATAAGATAGCCGCATGTCAGGAAAATAAAGCGAGAATGCTTTTTTATTACTTTCACCATGGAAATGCATCAGCATAAGTACATACATATGAATGTACGTATACTAATTTTAAGGATTACTTCAATATTACCTTCAAGGAATTTTAGCTGCATTCGCAATGTCTATTCGCAAGTCTAGGTCCTGACGCGGTTATGTGTGCATAATATTATAAGAAAATTCTTTTACTCAGTTCTGAATTTCTGTATGCTTCAGGCAACTAAGTCTTCTAACTTCGCAACTAGGCGCCTTATAGTATCGCACCACTTTCCACATAATACAACGCTCGTAGTTCCTGCTCCTTTTCATTTTTGTTTATGTATGTGTCTATAAATGCATGTGGTCGAAAAACAAAAAAAACTCACACAATTCAAAACTATCTCAAAGCACAATTGAATTTTTAATGAAAATTAAAAAATGCCAACTTGAAAAGGGTTAAAAGTTATTCATCATTTGACATTATAGTCGGTGTTCAAAAGAGAGAAATGTCAAAATCACTTCTACCTTGTTTAATATGCCTTGAGGTAATATATTTTATCCGAAATTTGTATCTGCCACTGAAGTAGGCCTGCTCTGGGTTGGGACCAAGGCATATTCAACAAGGTAGAAGTGACAATTCAGTCGAGCTCTCTCATACCTGACTGTAATGTCAAAAAATGTAAACAAAGAAATAAACCCTTTGTTATGCATTTACCATATTTGATAGAAGTCAACATCTTTGAAATGAAAATTTTTGTAAATATGAAAATATTTAAAATCTCATTAGCATTAGCTTCATTTTATTTATTGAATTTTCGCTTTAATGTAAATGTGGAAATGCACACTTACACAAAATTACACACTAAATGAAACACACTCATTTATAAAACCATTTTGACAATTTTCTTGCTTTTACTATCCCAATGCTTTTGAGCATTTATTTTTTTATACAAATACTTAATTCTAAAGTATATTAGACATTAAAAAAGTTTGATTCTTCTAAATTTACACCAGAACTTAACTTCAATAATTTATCTATTATCTAAATTTTTGCTATTCGAAATTTCCTTTCCATTAAATTTATTAAAAATTACTTTCAGTTTCTTTATGTCAACAAGGAATACTGGTTTAGGTTTTATCAGACCACCATTTGAAATTTGGCCTATCCATGTATGTATATGAAAGGGAGATTTTCTTTTCATATGCGGTATGATAAATCCTGCACCTGGGACCAAACGCGTTCACTTAGAAATACTCGGCTGCGATAGGCAACAAATAAAGTCACGACCACACGTGAAGAGTCTCCTAATGAAATATCGCAGCAATTTGCCCTCCGTTGTCGCTACACTTGACAATTCGAAGGTTTAAAATAACGCACAAGTTTGTTGTCCAGGCTCTTGACAAACACAACGCACCGCTCGCAATTCCTTTTCATTTTATTATGTATTTAAAATCAGTCGCACAGCTCACAATTGAAAATGTATATAAAAAAAAAATTTTTGAATAGTATACGGTTAAGAGTTGAAATTTCAGTCGCAGTTCAAAAGAGAGAAATGTCGAAATCACTTCTACCTTCTTATATCTTGGTTGGGACGATTAGGAGGACGACATATCTTGGTTCTTTTAAAGGATGTCAGCTCGTGAGCTTTGCAGGCATGGGGCAGAAATCGCTTAAGAGGTTACACATAGCACAGTCAAAAGTCCAATTTATAACAAATTTCTTACAATTGTTACGACTAATTTTTTTCAAATTTGTATAAAAATAAATCTCGTGTTCAAAGAACTGAATTGCTAACATGGAAAAACCAAAAACTAATCTGTGTGAAAAAATCATATTACTATTTTCTCGGGGGATATGCTTAAATCTAAATCATAACTTTTAGATTAAAAGTCGAGTGTCCACGGGGTTTGGTATTTATTAAAATTCATATGATTTACCCCAATACAAGCACGTATAATTTTTATTTTAAATCAATAGTACGGGTAATAATTCGTAGTTTTTGTTTGATGCCTTAAACACTCGACCATCAATAGAGAATAATGGAGAGAATTTCAATTAACGCGGCTCGTCAAATGTCAATAAAGATCGAGGTTTTTTTACGAATGAATAGATAGGTAGGCAGTTTTGCATAGATTAACAAATATATGTGGATGGCGTAATTACCTGGCACTGCTGCCGCTATTCATCAGGCCACCCATGTTTTGATGCAGATTTGACATCGGCGATGTGGCCTGTGAGTTGTGATGCAGATGCGCTGCTGCGGCGGCGGCCATCACGGATGCGGTATTTGGTGAATTCGTTGCGTTAACAGATGAAGAGGCGGTTGTGTTGTGCGGGTTTATATGCCCGTGACCGTGAAGATGTGTGGTGTGGTGTAGCGAATGCTGATGCTGGCTGTGCAATGCTGAAGAGTTGTGGTGTTGCAGTTGATGCGCCGATGAGCTCGAAACACCGACCCCACAACCTGATGCCACGGAGCTGCCAGATCCAGCTGAACCAGCCGACGACGAAGTTGAAGCTGACTGATGCAGCGACAATGATGTGGACGATGACGCCGGGTGGATGCTATTGCCGCCGTGTGTGTGATGCGATAGCGCTGTTGGCGACGAATGAATGCCTGAGTGCGATACTGGATGCGAGGCGGCTGCCAGTAGCGAACTGTGGTGATGGTGAAGCGACGCGGATGCTGAGCTGCTGGATGTGGGTGAGTGGCTGGTCGAGGACGCTGAATTCAACGACAATTGATGATGACTTAAATGGTGACTGTTGTGGTGTGCTTGCAAATGTGCCTGTTGATGATGATGCTGTTGCTGCTGTTGCAATTGCTGTTGTTGTTGCTGATGAACAGCAGCGGCTAATTGACCCAAATGGTGATGATGATGATGCTGGTGATGATGGTGTCCACCTGTGCTAGTTGACGAGGTGACCGCCGATGCGGAGTTGAGATGATTTTGTAGTTGCTGTCCAGTTGTGGATAACGAAAGCGGATGCGCGAGCGATATGCCTGATAGCGACAATGATGGGATACGATCCATCATTTTGTGGAGAAGACCAGGAAATTTTGGTTGGTTGGCGTGCTTCCGGCTGCAGGAGTGGTAGTGTAATTAGATATCGGGTCAGGTGGGAGCGCCGGATTGGTGGTGCTAAGGTTGATGACAAGAGTCGTTGGAAGCGTGAGGCTGTAAAATATTAAAAATACAAAAAATTCCAGTAAAGCATTTTCTGTGGATAGTTTTAAATAATATATGTAGATATAAACATTTCACAAACAAACATATGCAGGGAGTCCAAGAACACCCGCCCACCCCTTCTAAAATGGAGGAAGATGTTTTCTATTGGAAGACGCAAGAAATGAACTACCAAGTCGGGGTACTGAATCATTTGGTCGTATTACGGTCTTCCGGTTTCGAGCGGAAGTGTGTTAAACTTACCGAAAGTCCATTTTTTTTAAATAGGAGATACATGTCGTTTATTTCATTTCCGGTCGAAACTCTAGGTCGGTAAAACAACAAAAAGATAGAGCATCTCCGATTTTGTGGTTCATACTATTGTATTTTCGAATAAACAACATTTTTCACCATTTTAGAAGGGATGGACGGATGGTTTAGGACACCTTGTATGTATATGAATATATGCTAATAAAAATTTCCGTTATACATGGTATGTATGTGGTTTTTAATAACCAAGTTGTAATTGAGTTTTATAATAACTTATTTCTACATATGTACATGCAATTTTGATGAGTCGTTCGTCGTACAGGCTAACCTAATATTCGCGGGTTGCGTTTTAGTATGCATGACGTCGAATTTTTTTTGCGTCACCAGAAATTGGTTTGGTAACTGCAAATTTACTCAAAGCTTGCTTATTCGCAACTTAACTCGTAGCTTTTTGTTTTACAAATGAGCTTTCCGTGCACTGTAGCAAGACCTTTATATACCAACATTGCTTCGCACCCATGGTAACTCTAGAAGGTTCTTATCGAGAGTTATCGTTATCGAACGTTCCCGTCCTTCTCTACTACATAGAACCATCTGTCATTCTTTTCTGTTTTGCTTTCACCTGCCATTCGTGTTTTCAGTATTCCCCACAATATTATGCATTTAAATTTTTTTTCGAAATTTGATTAAATGATAATTGCCAAAGTATGTATGAAAAATAAATGTATTATAAACGAAACAATAAGTTTATCTAACATACCCTGTTAACCTTCTCAATTACATCAACAACTTTTCTAATTTCTTTACCTGTATAGTTTTGCCACCAGCAGAACTACCCACCCGGGCACAGGCGTTTCGCCGCCCCTGTGAACAGCTGATAAATTGCTTGTTTATTCGCAGCAAATTCCTAATAAAACAATATATTTTATACATATTTAAATAGGTTAATTTCGTCAATTTCAACAATGAAAACAAATTAAGAGTTTCCTTATTACTTTAAATTGCATTCAGCAACTAGCGATCAGCTGGCAAATTCTTACAAGTAAAAATTTATCTAACGGGTGATTTTTTAAGAGCTTGATACCTTTTTTTTTAAAAAAAACGCATAAAATTTGCAAAATCTCATCGGTTCTTTATTTGAAACGTTAGATTGGTCCATGACATTTACTTTTTGAAGATAATTTCATTTAAATGTTGACCGCGGCTGCGTCTTAGGTGGTCCATTCGGAAAGTCCAATTTTGGGCAACTTTTTCGAGCATTTCGGCCGGAATAGCCCGAATTTCTTCGGAAATGTTGTCTTCCAAAGCTGGAATAGTTGCTGGCTTATTTCTGTAGACTTTAGACTTGACGTAGCCCCACAAAAAAATAGTCTAAAGGCGTCAAATCGCATGATCTTGGTGGCCAACTTACCGGTCCATTTCTTGATATGAATTGTTCTCCGAAGTTTTCCCTCAAAATGGCCATAGAATCGCGAGCTGTGTGGCATGTAGCGCCATCTTGTTGAAACCACATGTCAACCAAGTTCAGTTCTTCCATTTTTGGCAACAAAAAGTTTGTTAGCATCGAACGATAGCGATCGCCATTCACCGTAACGTTGCGTCCAACAGCATCTTTGAAAAAATACGGTCCAATGATTCCACCAGCGTACAAACCACACCAAACAGTGCATTTTTCGGGATGCATGGGCAGTTCTTGAACGGCTTCTGGTTGCTCTTCACTCCAAATGCGGCAATTTTGCTTATTTACGAAGCCATTCAACCAGAAATGAGCCTCATCGCTGAACAAAATTTGTCGATAAAAAAGCGGATTTTCTGCCAACTTTTCTAGGGCCCATTCACTGAAAATTCGACGTTGTGGCAGATCGTTCGGCTTCAGTTCTTGCACGAGCTGTATTTTATACGGTTTTACACCAAGATCTTTGCGTAAAATCTTCCATGTGGTCGAATAACACAAACCCAATTGCTGCGAACGGCGACGAATCGACATTTCACGGTCTTCAGCAACACTCTCAGAAACAGACGCAATATTCTCTTCTGTACGCACTGTACGCATTCGTGTGGTTGGTTTAATGTCCAATAAAGTAAACTGAGTGCGAAACTTGGTCACAATCGCATTAATTGTTTGCTCACTTGGTCGATTATGTAGACCATAAATCGGACGTAAAGCGCGAAACACATTTCGAACCGAACACTGATTTTGGTAATAAAATTCAATGATTTGCAAGCGTTGCTCGTTAGTAAGTCTATTCATGATGAAATGTCAAAGCATACTGAGCATCTTTCTCTTTGACACCATGTCTGAAATCCCACGTGATCTGTCAAATACTAATGCATGAAAATCCTAACCTCAAAAAAATCACCCGTTAGTAAAATCCAGTAAAAACTTGGAACTTCAACTGCCATTTTTCGCTCTCTCAATTTCCCCTACTTTGCAAGCTTTTGCTTACCAAAACGCCAAAACATGAAAATTCGTAAAAACTTTTACTGGAAATGAGTAAACAACAACAACTAATAAATTGGCGGCGTGCGTGAATATTAGGTTAGCATGTTAGGGTTCAAAATTTGTCCCTCCCGGTGATTTACTTCCTTCTAATTTTGCTACATGAAATCATACTTGTTTTGAAAACAATGTTAGCAGAGGACTTTTTTTTTAGTTATAGCTAAAATTTTTGAATTCCTTATGCAATACAATATTACAAAAGCATCTCAAAATGTTTACGTTTACTCAAGCCTTTTCTGTGCTTTTGCAGGTATCGCATACGATCTTCAAAATTGACAGAATTCAAAATTTTACATTTTTGAAGTTGTGCGCTATAAATTTACACAGATCTTTTAATTACTTTTCAGCAAAATCTGGAGCAAATCCTTGTTATAATTTGTTGAAAAAACCTAAAGTAAAGTCTGCTTTGCCCATTTAATTAGCAGAAATAAGAATAAGAAAAGAAATAGTTCTGCACATTTTCTGACAAATGTGTAATTTTGAGTTGTGTCACTTTTGAAAATTGTTGTGCGATGTGTAAAATACGTTTTCGCCGCATATTTATGGCGGAAAAAATATTCGTAAGCCTAACACTGTGAGATTTTAACCAAGCATTTCGTCGGAAGGAATCCGTGACCGAATAAAATTCTATTCGAAACTTCTTTTCGGTAGTGAGCTCATTTTTTCAATTAAAATGGTATTGGTAAGAAAACAACGGATGGTGTTGATCTGGACCAGTATAGGTTTATCGTTGAATGCTTTAATTACGTGAAATATGTACATTTTTTGTTGTTTTTTGAAAAAAACAATTTATCTCAAGTCGAATTCATATAAGGTTAGATCATGAGTACAAAAATAACAATTAAACTAACCAACTTTACGCACAATGACTGTAAGAATTACAACAAATTCATCATTTTGACGCGAAAATCCAGCTGGTCTGGTAACAACCATTCGCCTTCATTTATCCTATATGAGTGAACACTAACTAATTTGTTTCTTAACCATTTTTTTGTATGTTTATGAAGTATAAAACGAACTATAAATGAATCGAAAGAATTTTTGACTTCCATAGTGTGGACCAGGCGTACTTATTTTTGAATAACTGGTAGAGGCATTTTTAGAGCCAAAGTTTATCTCACTTAACACCATTTGATTTCTGTGATTGTGTGATGGATATGCATTGATGACCCATAAAATTTCGAGTATAATTTTGCACTCCAAATACATAAAGATAACTTTGCGTCACGTACATTATCATATACATATAGGTTTGTATGTATATGTACATACCCTGCAGTAAAAAAATTCAATTGATAAAAAATTAACATCGTAGTTTATTTTCTTAAAGCAAGTTTCTATTTAAATATCCCAATACAAAAATTACTTTGAATGCACTTTTTCCCGTACCTGACATATGCTCTTTCAAACTGTATCTATTTAGTAAGTTTTCTTCAAAGAAAATAAACAGCTAAAGGTGAATACTAACTGAATCCAAGTCAGTTTTAAATTATTTTCCTGTTAGCTTCATTTCCAGCAGGGTACTTAACACATCGTTTTGGTCATAACAACAATCGGATTACAAGCAAGAGGGCGAAAATAGTGTCCAGCAAACCAGTAAATATGTCTAATGCAAAATGCAAACAAATCACAGAGTAAAATCCAATCCATAAATATGTAGACGATAACATCACTTAGGCACACCGCACATTACGCTCCTAATCATAGTACAATAATCGTTTCGCCATGCCGTATCTACTTCTGATTATCTACGCACCATACAACCGCACATCACACATTTTTGGTATTTTTTATAACTTTCATGAACATGAAATGGTATAATAACCAGTGTTGCCACGGACAATTTTTTTTTCCTACCAAAATTTCCTACCAAGACCAACCAAAACCTACCAACCATTTTCGAGTTTTTGATTTTTTTTTGTCAAGTTTATGTTAATATAGATACATAGCGTTTAGTAAAACTAAAAACAGCTAGCGCAATAAAAAAAATTAACTGCGTATAACAATTAATTTTACTGTACAGAATTATACAAATGTATGTCTCTTTACACATACATATTATTATTATTATTATTACGGCAGGAAAAGTTCGGCTGCGACTTAAGAAGATCTAAGTGTGCTAAACCACAATTGTATTCACTCCAACCTTAGGCTAGTTAAGAAATTAAGCACCAAGGTATATCAGTCTGCTATTCATGATACGTGGGCAGTCATATAGAAAATGCTCTGGGGTTTCCGCCAC